ACTTCCCTGAACACACCCATGAGTAGACTGATGAGTCTGGAAACCCTCTTGAGCCTCAGTGGGTAGAGCTAGGGATGGTAGCCTTGTTAAGGTAAGGGGACGGGCTGTGAGAGTAGCAACTTGTGGATTCTGAAGTGTTCGAACCAGAAGGGATCTTAAAGAGACTCTGGTCCAGTCAGACATGGTAGCATACACCTGTAATCCAGGAAGTGGAAACAGGATGATCAGGAGTCCCAGACTGTCTTTGGCTACATAGAGAGTTCAAGACCAGCCTGGGCTACATGAGACCCTATCTCGAAAAGAAAAGAAAAAAGAGAATGTCAGCTAGATGTGGTAACACCTATCCATCATCCCAAGATTCAGAACCACAGGCAGGAGGATAAAATTGAGGCAAGCCTGGGCTACAGAGTAAGTTCCTATCTCAAAAATTTAAAATTAGCTGGGAATATATCTGAGCTGGAGTGATTACCTAGCATGTAGGTTCTACCCCCAGCACCACAAATAATAAATACCAGAGGCTTGGGGAGACTGCTCAGTCAGTAAAGCACTTGCTGCACAAGCATGAGGAACTGAGTTTGATTCCCAGCACCCACATAAAAACGGCAGGTGTGGTGGTAGTGCACACCTGTAATCCCAGCACTGCAGAGACAGAGGCAGGCAGATCCTTGGGGCTCATTAGCCCTACAGCCCAGCTGAATCAGTGAGCCCCATGTCCCAGTGAGAGACCCCATCTCAAAAAAAAAAAAATAAGGTGGACAGCTGAGGATTAACAGCCAAGACTGACCTCTGACCTACACACACACATGCATGCGCATGCACACCCTCATACATACGAGCACACACACTCACGTGGACACATACACACAAAATAAAGATAAATAAGGCAAAAACCAACCAAAGGTGGACAGGGTATAGGCCTGAGGGGGTCCCCTTGCCCTTTTGCTAAGTAAGCACCTACTGTGCGCCAGATACTGAGTTGGGTCTCATTCAGTCCTTTTATTACAAAGTACTTATGTTTCTTGTTGAATAAATAATGATCAGGAAATCAAAAGAAAGAACCTCCTGGACACACTGCACATACCCTCATTTAATTCCTTCCGCCTTACACGGGGTAGGTTCTATAAATCCTGTTTTGCATATGAGCAGCTGAGGCTCAGAATGGGTGAGTGACTGGCCCAGCCTCTCACAGCCTGCAGGGTGGACAGAGCCTAGTGCCGGTGAAGCCCCAGTGTGCAGTGTTATATACCAGACCACCACACTGTGGTGTCCTGCAGGGTCATCTCTCGCTGTCCCCTGTCCTGGGTGGGACCTTCTCCTGATTCCAAGGCTGTCCCAGGTTCCGTACCTTCTGTCCCCTGCCTTGCTGTTCTCAAGGTTTGGGTCTCTCCCATCCTTTAGCCACTTTTAGGACATCACCAAGCTTCTGCCTCATCTAGGCTCCTGCTCTTGCGCAAGAGAACAGGAGACCCAGGTCACACAGCAGAGAGAGAGAGCTAAGCACACTGGCTCCAGGGAGGCAACATACTGTCCCACCCTGAGTTTCCTTTCTCCTTGTAACCTGGCCTTACCCACCTATCGGACAGCCTGGGGATGTGGACCTTGGCTGTCATGACTTCTTGACACTGGGGACCTGATGTGTAAAGTGAGGCTCAAGTCCCCAAGCTGGACTTGGTGAGCTCACCTTTGGACCTGGCCCTGCCTTCTTTCCAGGACTGTGGACTGATCGATGGCAAAGCAGTGCCTGGGGCTTACTATGTGACAGATGCTAGTGGCTATGCAAATTAACATGGCTTAGGGGTCAGGGAACCCTTCCCTGCTATTCAGCAGCCCCCATCCTCCCTGGCGCCCACCCCACCTCCTCAGTCACTAGGACATGGCTGTGGCCAGGCAGCCTCAGGCAGGAACTGAATGTGTGAGTTTGGCCTTCCAGCTCTGTTCCTGAAGCAAGGCTGAGTTGGGGTCTGGGGGAGGCCCAACCTCCCACCCTGTGCATACCCCTAGCTGCACACCAGCCATGACACCTTCAGTTTTGACAGTATCACTTCATCTTCATGCTCCGTGGCCTCAGGCTGAATGGCATGTCTGGGTTCTTCTCTGGCCTTGAGTCTTTCTGGTCCCAGCGGGCACCCCAGACCCCATTTGGGCAGCTGTGGGCAGCCCCATTCTCCCACCAGTCCAGGGCTTGCTTGGAAGGACCGAGCTGGCTGCCTCTTCATTAGTTCTTGTTCTGGGGTTTGGGAAGTGGTTGGTGTCCCTTCTGGAGGCTCCCTGCTGATGGGTGCCTTCTGAGTACAGGTTCACTGTGGGCCTTGCCAGGCCCTGGTGAACAGGCATCTTTGCAGCCAGATCCAGGAGGAAATGGGCCTTTGTGTGGGCCTGGCCTCCCTGGGTCAGGCCCTGCATGGGTCCAGGGGGAGGATCACATGAAGTGGGCTCTGCACTGTCTCTGGAGGGGGAACCACACCATCCCCTGTCCTTGGTCAGTTCCTCAGTCTGGTCTTTTCCTGTATTTCTCGCCTGAAGGAGAGGATGGCTTTGTTATCCTGGGAGACTCCACCTGGCTCTTGGGCCATCATGCACTGGGGCAACAGCTAGGCTGTCTGCAAGGTTTAAACATGGCTTCCCTGGAGGTGGGGCAGGTTCCTTCCAGGCTACCTGCCCCAAAGTGTGTGTGTTGGGACTGTGTTCTGACTGCTCTCTGAAGAGTCCTGGCACACAGGTGGACTCAGTCCCTGCTTCACTGGACTGTCCATCTTCTGAGAAAGCCACAGGGAGAAGAAAGTGAGCAAGGCTCCCTGTAGTGTTGACTGAGTCTGCTGAGGGCCTGTGAGAGGGCTGGGAGCCAGGGCACCTGCAGCTACCTTCCAATCAGGGTGGCTCCAGACAGCCCTCAGTTTCCCTGGTAGAGACCTCTATCCCTCTCCTAGGGATGACCCACCTTCCTGTGATGCTGCCAGGAACAGAGAGATGCATAAAGCATGCTTCTGCCCAGAGGGTGTCAGGCCGGCGCAGGTGCCAGCTCCGGGCAGGTGCCGTCACACTCTGATGAGCTTGGGAGAAGGATGAGCAGAGGAGGCTCCCAGCATCCGGCGGTGCATCCTGCCGGGTACCTCACCCACACCGTCTCTTTTCATTTGTGGATATGTCAGTGTTCGCCACTTTTCTGTGCAGCACTGACCTTTCAGGTTGAAAACAAGTCCCTCCTAGCAAGCAGCGACAGGTGTGGGTGTGCGGACAGCTGTCCTTTGCCTCACAGGGCCCAGCAGGGCGTGGGTGCCTACGTGGGTGTTCACCTGGTGTTTGTCAGCCGTGGGGTGGGGGCTGCTGGTTATGACTTTGTTTTTCCTTCTGGCCCAGTCCACCCGCAGACCCTCTTGGTGAAAGGGGGTTGATGTTGCTCGGGGCTGGGGATGTCATTTGGTTGGTGGTAGTTTGTGTGGCCTGCATGAGGAATTGGGTTCCATCCCTAGCGAAAGAGGATTGGTGGTTCTTAACACTGAAGGAAACTGCTGTAGGTTACCGAATGGCCTCTGACTGCCCTAGAAATAGACTTGAACTGTGGACTCTGGCTTGTTTTGAGGGAGCTGTGGGTCCCCAGCATGTGAGGGTCAGAACTGTGGCTCTTCCGGGCCAGGTTCTGCATCTGGCACCTACGCACTGACCTTGACTTCTGGCTGAAGTTCTTAAGCTTGGTGGACTTCTGTTGTCTCCTTATCAAACGAGGATTGCTGGGCCCTCAACAGACACATCAGCAGTGCCAGGCTAACCTGCCTCTAACCCTGCTGTGTGCTTGCCTTTGGTGGACACTGGGGGCATCGAGAGGGCTGTTGAGGACTCCTGACTGAAACAGCTTTTGTCTGGAAGGCTGGTGATCTTGGGAGGGTAGTTTGAGTACCCTAAAATCCTGAGTGTCCCCCCCCCTTTAGAGCACTGGTACATTGGCAAGCTCTTTGTAGGGCTGGAGGCTCAGCTTTTCAGCCCTGGGCCCTTGCCCCGACTGCTCTCTGCCTAGAATGTTCTCCACAAGGCCTTTTCTCCTCTTCCTCTTGGCCTTACCCTTTTCTGCTCAGTTTCTATCCATAGGCCTCCCAGAGTACAGTGCTCCCCAACAGCCCCCCCTGTTGTCAGAATGCAGACTCCATAAGAGTTCCTGTCTGTTCTGCTTGCTGGAATTTCCTAGCACCTAGAGCAGTACCCAGCACACAGCACCCAACACCACTAACGCCAGAAGTCATTGCCAAATGAATGGATGGATGGATGAGTGAGTGAGTGTTTCTCTTATGAGGTCCCAGAATCAGGATTCTGAAATACTTGCAGAATGATTTCACATGCAATCAGAAAGATAAACTTCCAACAGATTAATGTAGAAAATGGCAGTTTGGTGGGACTACTATCCCTTTGAACTCGACAGGACAGAGCTGCAATGACCAGAGACCTAAGGAGGAGAGTGCCAGTGTGTCAGGACCTGGCAAGGAGTTTCTTCTTTACATTAGAGATCGCAGTTTGAGTTTAAGGCTCTCACACCCCCACCCCTACTGAGACAGGGGAAGGGGCTCCCCATAGCCCCATAGTGAGTTCATGTCCCAGTCACTTATCAAGTGCTACATGTTCATTGGGTGTCCCCTCCCTTACTGATATCGTGCAGAGTATTGTGGATGTCGTGAAGAGCAAAGCAAGCGGGTCCCCATCCTTGGCATGTCAGGAGAGGAGCCCAGGCCTCAGGCTCCAGCCCAGGTCTCACACCCCACACTGCACCCTGCAGTCGGCTGCTGTTCCCAGTGACCCTGCAGTGCAGTGAGCCTGTGAAAGAAATGGATGCCCTTCCTGGGAGTGGAGGGTCCCCATCTGAGGAGGTGCTTCAGTCAGCCCAGACTGAAGCGAGGTGTTCTGTTTTGGATTGTGGGGGCTGCTTTTTGGAGCCTTGACAAACTAGGGCATCACCCCAGAAGAGATGACCCAAAGGCCTGGCCGGCCCCTGACGACCTGCGTTGTCCTTACAGCCAGGCGGGCGCCACGGCAAGGGTTCTGCTACCTTCATGGAAGGGAGAGGACCCTACCGGATCTACGACCCAGGGGGCAGCGTGCCTCCAGGAGAGGCTTCCGCAGCCTTTGAGCGTCTAGTGGAGGAGAATACCCGGCTGAAGGAAAAAATGCAAGGAATAAGGATGTTAGGTAAAGCAGATCGGGCCTCTCCCCAGGGTCCTCCCCATACCCCCTCCCCACAACCTACCATGCCAGCCCTGCCACCCAGCAGAGGAAAGTACACAGGCTCACAGCCTCTGCCTATCACCCCACTGTCCTGTGGCCCAGTGTTGACCCCTGGCATCTTGGTCACTTCTCTAGCCTGGTGACGGCACCCCCAGCCCTGGCTTCTCCCACCCCAAACCGTGTTCTTGAGGGACCAAGAATGCAGCATAGCATGGGAAGAGGGGTGGAAGGCCCATGGGAAGAGGGGTGGAAGGCCCAGTGTGTGGACCTGGAGCCAGGATAGCCTGTTGTAGGAATGTGAGAGATAGGGAGAGCCAGTGGACTAAGGCAGCCCCAGCCCTCGGGGCACGGGTCCCAGGTTGTAGCTCAGTGCAGCAGGGATCCTGGCCCCTGTCCCCCGTCCCCCTGGCTTCTGCTCAAGCTGCCCCCGCTAGCCAGGGGACCCTACCTACCAGAACTGCTGCTCTGCACGTCTGTTCTTGGCTTGGGCTTCCTCTGACTTCCCTCTCACACCCCTTGCACTCTGCCCCAATGCTGCTTTCTTTGCTCTCAAGCTTGGCGTGGGGGGCACAGCACCCTGATTTTCCAGGTGTTTTTTCCCTGCTTGGCACATGGGCAGGTTAATGGTATTTCCCTTTTTCCAGCTGCAGAAGGGAAACTGAGGCCTAGAATGCTGTTGGTATGGAGGGGGGCTCCTCCCTGCAGGCAGGCCCTCAAGAGCCTCTCACTTCCTGTGGGAGAGGCTGGCCAGATGTGGAGGGTGAGGTGGGTAGGAAGAAATGGCTGGGGGTGGGAGGTTTCCTTGGACCCCACTGTGAGACTCTTATGCTGGTCTGTTTCTGGTGGGCCTGTGACCCACAAGATCAGGTTTGGGGCAGTGATGCGGGGGAGAGCCCTGCACTGGGCTGGGTAAATCCATTTGCCTCTCCTCCTCTCTAGGGGAGCTCCTGGAGGAGTCTCAGATGGAGGCATCAAGGCTCCGGCAGAAGGCGGAGGATCTGGTCAAGGACAGTGAGCAGCCTCCGCCACCACCAGCTCCCTCCTTGGGCTCCTTCGACCCTTTGGCTGAGCTCACAGGTACCAGAGGAATCCAGAACCCAGACTGCCTGGACCCCGAACATCATAGGACATGCCACTTGTGCACAGTTCTTTCTAGAGCACCCCATTGAAGTTCAAAGTTGTTAAGAGACTTAGAAGAATCCTGTTGAATTAACTGGTGACTCAGCAATCCTGCGATCCTGGCAGGCATGCGTAATCGATCACACTGGTCCACTGCACCCAAGACACAACCTCAGAACCTTATCAGCATATCATTGAGTCAGCATCTGCTACATGGCAGGCCCAGTGCGCAGGCAGCTCTGCCCTGGTGCTCAGAACAACATAGGAATTAGTTGAAAGTTCTCTGTCCCTCCATCCATTTCTGTTTCATAGCCGGGGAGTCTGAGGCTCAGAGAAGGATCTGGCCTTGCCTGTTAGTGTTCTGCAGTGTCTGTGCTAAGCAGAGGGTGACAGTGACTTGAAGAGAGTTGAAGTCCTGTGTGGTCACCCTGCATCACTCCAGGGCAAGCCTGGGACCAGGAGAAGATCCCCAACCCCAGACTCAGGCACCTCCTGCTGCAGCTAGCCCCTCCTAGGCTCTGGGTCTAGGTACCTGCGACACCTTCCCTTCCGGGATGGATGGTGATATTTGCTGAACGGACAGCTGAGAAGGCAGCAGGGTCCAGAGTTCCTCAGAGTGGTGCTGCTGTCGGAGGGGCACGCCAGCTCCTGCTGGTCCTGTCAGCTGTTGATTCTTAGGGTCTGATTGGTGCCAGGCCCACCCAGAGAGACAGGGAGTCACTCATGGGGCTCCTACAGCAGCCCCTACTCCTAACCCCGCCACACTCCCTGTTGTAGGGAAGTAGGCCAGGTCTGAGTCCAGGTTTTACAGTTGTGGGGAGTGACTGTGACCAAGTTGATGACCTTGCCAAACCTCAGTTCTTTTTCTCTAAAGTAGGACTATAGGGCTGTCATGAGGATGGCTGTGAAATAGTTCTAAACACTTCAGGAGGGGGACTATAGCCTAGTTGGTAGAGTGCTTGCCTAGCAAGAATGAAGCCCCAGGTTGAGGCTCCAGCACTGCATAAACCAGGTGTGGTAGTGCACACCTGTAGTCCTAGCCCTTGGGAGGTAGAGGCAGGAGGATCAGATGTCCAAGGCCATCCTCACCTGCATATCAAGTTTGAGGCCAGTCTAGCCAACCTAAGCTATACAAGACCAACTCAAAACCAAAAGTAAAACATTTGGTTAGTTGTAAATTCTGTCCACATCCTTGAGGCAAGCCTAGGGTAGTAGGGAGCCACCTTTGGGTTTTCCTAGTGAGTACCAGGAAGAGGGTCGCTGCCCAGGCTCTGTCCCATCACTCCAGAGCCAGTTGTTCACCAGCTACCGGTCTTGAAGGGACAGCCTCGTTTTCCTCCAACTCAAGGAAGGCTTCCATCAAGTGTTCTCCTAGGTGTGTCCACTTCTGGGGGTCTTCACCTACGCTCTTTATTTTCTAGGAAAAGATACACACCTCCTGATACCTCCTGTCGCCGCCACCACCACCACCACCGAATGCTCCATTGAGAAGACAGCACCAACCCCCAAGCCTCCATCCAATGTAAGTTGCATCGGAGTCATGACTAGAGGTTGCCTGGTGTTAGGGTTCCACTGGAAGAGAAAAAAGCACAGAGAAAGAGCTGGGCCAAGAAACTGTCTTCTGCTGCTCCGCAGTATAGAGCCCTGGGAGGCACCAGCTTACCATTTTGAAATGGAATCCAGAGTCAGAATGTACCAGGAAGACCCTGATAAGTGGGAGGAGTTTCTTTTACTGAGCTGTGTAATGTGAAGCACTCACTGTTGGGGCTTGAGATGTACACTGCCAAGAGGCTCAGAAACTGGGTCCTAGGGCTGATCCCTCAAAGGCTGGTGGGAGTACAGGGCTTCCTACAGTCTGCCCTGGGTGGGATCTGGGCTGCCTGCTCGAACCCAAAAGATTTGAGGTCAGAAAGGGACCCAGGTGTGCAGGGCAGGCAGCAAGCAGCCAGGGAGCCTGAAGGTGAGGTTTGGTATCCACACCTTTCAGGTCTGGTCAGAAGAGAAGGACCTTTTCAAGGTCATGTGTGTAACTCAGCAACGTAGAGGGGAATGGGGCGGGCTCCTGGTGGTGCTGAGGTCATGACCGTTGGGGTCATGCTGGCCATGACTAGGCGGCCAGTCGGAAGCTGGGCTGGTTTTTCCCATATGCCCTGCCCATCCCAGGACAGGGATAGTATACTAGTCTCTACAAGTTAAATGTTTTTGGGCTGTTTGGTTTTTATAATTTGTGTGTGGGGGGGGTATATGCACGGGGCGGAGGGGTGCACCAGTATATGTGTGTGAGGACAGAGGAGGACGTCGGGTGTCCTGCCTTTTCTTGTCTCTGCCTTATCCTCTTGAGACAGAGTCTCTCAACCTAGACTCACCATTTTCCAGGGAGGCTGGCTGGCTAGCACCCCCAACAATACTCTTGTGTCTGCCCACTCTAGTGCTGGGGTTACAGGTGCCCTTTTTTTTTTCAATTTTATATATATGACTGTTTTGCCCGCATGTGTGTAAATGCACCATGTAATACATGCAATGCCCACAGAACTGGAGTTACAAATGGTTATTAGCTGCCATGTGGGTGCTGAGAACCAAACCCAGGTTCTCTATAAAAGTAACCAGTGCTCTTAACCACTGAGCCATCCCTCCAGCCCCACAGTACCCAGATTTTTATGTGGGTTCTGGGGAATACAAACTCGGGTCTTCCTGCTTACATTGCATATGCTCTTACCCACTGAGTCATCTTCCCAGCCCCTGTTCAAATTTAACAGGAATCTTAAAGCCAAGTGCAGGTTCACATGGACCATGCACGCATCAGCCAGATGAACAACCACTGAATTTTGCATGGAATGGCTGGGGAGTAAGAGGCTAGCAGCCTCTGGGTGGGGTGCTGTTGAGACAGTCTCTGTTGAACCATCTTGGAGCTCTCTCTCCTCAGATCAGCCCGCTCCTGGGGATCTCCAGGGCTGGGTTGGTGAGGCTGGTGTAGAACCTTCCTTGGTGGTGACTGTAACAGCTGCTGTCTGTCACCCAGGGACCAGCCAGAGACACCTGGGCCTAGGAGACAGCTCAGGTTCCTTAGCAGCAGGCTCTGCCATCTTGTACAGAGTCCTTCTTGTTAACTGACTCTGATCTTGATTTCCTCATCTGTCCTTCTGACCTTCTGACCTGCTCCATGAGAGGCTTTGGGAAATAGAGTTCATGAGAACATCTTAAAATGTGAAAGCCTTTGGCCGGGCGTGGTGGTGCACACCTGTAGTCCCAGAACTCGGGAGGCAGTGGCAGGTGGATCTCTGTGAGTTCAAGGCCAGCCTGGTCTACATAGTGAGTTCCAGGACAGCTGGGGCTACAGGGAGACCCTGTCTCAAAAAGACAAAAAAAAAACCCCAAAAACTGTGAAAGCCTTTGACTGACAAGATGGCTCAGCAGATAAAGGTGCTTGCTGTTAAGCCTGATGACCTGAGTTCAATCCCTGGGGTCCACATGGTGGAATGAGAGAACTGACTCACAAGTGGTCCTTTGACCTCCACATGTGCACTGTAGTAACACTCATGTGTGTACACACACACCCAAATAAATATGTAAATGTTAAAAGAATTAAATAAAAATAAAATTCCAAGCTTACAGAAAACCATAAGCATTCAAGGTCAGCTTGTTCCACACCCATTTCACAGATGAGGAAACTGACCATGGAGGGGTATGACCTCAGGTCACACCTGAGGGTCATGGCAGGTGTGTACAGTCCTGTGGGTGATCTCATGTGAATGGTGTGTGATGGTCCCCTGGGGAGTTCCACATAGAGGGGGCTGGCTTGTTACACTGAGTGAGATGAGAATTTGTCCTTCCTTCTCCCCCTCTCTGCTCTTAGTGGGGGTGGGTGCCTGTCTCTTGGTGCCCTAACTCCCTTCTGTACAGGGCAGCTCCTCTGACTTTGAAGTGGTCCCCACTGAGGAGCGGACTTCTCCACCAGAGACTGGCAGCCACCCTAGGAATAGGATGGTGAGTGGACGGGCAAGCCCCCCAAGCACATCCTCCTGTTTCCTCTCTGTCTCAGTCACCTGCCCCTGTGTGGTAGGCACAGGGGCCATTCAGATCCCTTGGGCACCCTGGAGTCACATGGGGGCTGCACAGGGGCCGGAGCCCAGGGTGCTTCTCGCTCTCATATGCAAATCCCCATGCTAGTAACTTCCCCTGGCTTGGGTACACAGGCACTGACTGTTGTGAAAGCCGGGGGACTTTGCTAGCCCCACCGGCCTCTGGGCCAATCAGCTTTATCTGCCATGATGACTCATGGAAAGATCTGGAAGGTGGCTTCTGCTTAAGGCTGGTAATTTACCCTCTTCTGCAGGTCCTGATCTCCCAGGGGTGGGCAGGTTGGAGGTTAAACTTCTGCTCCTACATACGCAGGCACACGTGCTCCTCTAGCCCCAGAGAGGCCACCTATATCCCATTCTACACCCTGCAGCTCTTCCGCCTCGATCCCAGCTGTGTCCTTGTGATCTGCTTAAAATGACAGGTTTCTTGGAGAGCTACTATGAAAGATCTGGAAGATCCTTTGGAGGTCTTGAATTCTTCCTGGCTCCTTCTCCCCCCTCCTTCCCTTCCCATTCAGTGTTTGCTTTATTTATCCATTCATATTCTCCCCCCCCCCC